ATTTTTAAAATTTAATCATTAGGAAAAATAAATTAATGATTTTTTTTTTTTTTTTTTTTTCGAAACGATATGAATTTTATAACTAACACAAATAATTACAAATAGAATACGGCCAAAAGCTGAATCTAAAGAGAGGACATCCCGGAGGAGCCTAAATACCACAACGCACCCACGATAATAAAAAAACTCCCAACAGGAGAATCTAGATCCCACATGGGATAATAAAGTCTAACTCCCAACAGGAGAATGCCTAACTCCCAATAGGAGAATCTAGATCCAAATGGGATAATTACACTAACAAAGGAAAAAGAAAACACAGAAGAACACAATCACTACACAAAACACAAACCCAAAAAACACAAAAATAAAGAAGAGCCCTTTCCACTAACGGGCTAACACACCGGCCGAAACACAACGGCAACACCACGATCAACCTCCAACTGGCCGGACCACGGCCCGAGTGTCAACACCAGAAACTGCCAACCACGTCCTAACTAGAATCGAAACACTAAACCACGACCCGCGCCTAGGCGGCCGACCACAACCCCTCAGCCAGAAGTCAGACGAACAACCCACCCCACACCACACAACCACCACCCCAAACCGAGCCACACCACGGCCAGGCCCGACGCAACAGTAGGCTCTTCTTTCCAAACACCAGGGGAAGAAGGAACCGAGGAGTAGGCAGCCACCGCCCTCTGCTCCGACCACCAATGCAGCAATCGGAGCCGCAACCCACCCCTGAAGAACACCACAACCCTCCTCTGCCTCGCCGCCATGGAAACTGGCGAAATCGTCTCGAGATGGCAGCCCTAATTCGCTGAAGACCACTCGGGACCGACCGACTCCACAACCGCTCAATGAAGATGGATCTGGTAGCTAATCAAGGACAAGTCGCAAGCCAGGAACCGGCCACCGTCGAGAAGACCGGCGGCCCCGCCGGGGAAGGCACAAAAGATTTCAATTTGGGGCTTTTTGCTTTCGGAGAGAGAAAAGTTTTTTAGAGAGAGAAAAAGATACCAGATTGATTAAGGATTTTTTTGGTTGGTACTTAATTGCCAAGGGAGTTGCTGGTGGGAGTATCTAGGAAAAAAAAAGTTTGGCCGAGAGCTTGCGGGGCAGTTAATTTTAGGGCTGAGCACGGGATTCGGAGATTACCGAACCGTTCCGAAAATCGAACCGAATTCACTCCGAACCGAAAAATACCCGTTGACCGTTTGACTTTATCCGAACCGAACCATACCGAAAAAATATTTGGTACGGTTCTGGATATTCATAAAATATCCAAACCAAGAACCGAACCGAATCGTATCAAACCGAACCGAACCATACCGAACCGAGAACCGAACAAGAACCGAATTTAATTCGAAATATTTTATCTTATACTTTTTTTTTTTCATTTTTGTACATATTTGCATTTACCGTTGAATTGCAAATAAATTTCATATACATCAAGATTGTGTCTATAAACTTTCATATATTATATTTAAAATTGAATTGCAAAAATTCTCCATTGTTGAATGTTAATATAATTAAATAATTAAAAAAAATAATTATTTTATTTTCTTACTGCATGTGAATTGTGAGGCATTAGTTTGAAGCAAATTAAATTATTTTACTTTTTCTCTCACAAATTTTGGTAACAAACGTATCAAATATTTTATTAAGAAAATTATTAATTATTTCTTAGAAATATCAAAATATTTGTATATAATAAAATGTGGTGGCTAATTTAAAAAATTATCTTAATACATATGTAATGATATTAGATTTTAAAATAAAATAATAGTTGAGTATTATGATTAATAAAAATAGGACGATTTTATTTTAGTATGAAATGTCCGAATTTAAATGGTATGAATTTCATTTGGTATGGATAGATCATAGAAGTGTATTGAGAAATTTTAAAAATAAAATAAATTGTATAAATTTTATTTAATATGAATATTAAAGTTGAATTTTATGTTGATTTGTTATAAAATCATGGTGATATGACTCTCCTGCTAAAAAAGAAGGTGATATGATTCTCAAATTTTAGCATATTTTTCATAATAATTTGCCATATGATATTGATGATAATTGAGCAAATTGGTATGTATTCTTCTTGAAAATTAGAAAGATCTTTTAACAAATATTTGTTAATATAATTTAGCATTTATAATTTAATTCTAGATACTTAGAGCATCTCCAATGTGAGATGTTGACTTAATAAAATGTTAGCCACATCATCAAGTTATAAAGTGAAAACAAAAATTAATCTCCAATCCATAATGTTATGGACTCTTTTATGCTGACATGGAGACAATAAACATCCAAAGTGTGAAGCCCACTTTCTAGTTTTCCAAAGAGTGTTTGAAAGCCAACTTATAAAAAATCTAACCTATTTTAAACTTTTGAAAGGGATGCATTGGAGATGTGCATTCTAAGTTAAAGTCTTCTCTTTTGACATTCATATTACATGGATTTACATTTCATTCATCATTTGACATGTGTTCAAATTTAATTAATGTTCAAAGTGGAGCATTGGAGATGCTCTTAGCTAATAAATCTGAACGACGAGGCAACCAACAACAAATCTATAAAATGAAGTTGGAGTTTGTATGGGCTACTTGTTTCATGAAGAAAATGAAAGTTCGCGTTATTGTTTTTCGTTTGATAACTCGTTGGGACTTGTATGAAACCCTACACTTATTTTTTGTATTTTGAACTTTTACTTGATGATGGAATTATGGTTTGTGAATTATGGGACTTGTATTTAGAATTATGGGATGTGAACTCTTAGATAATGTGTGTCTTAGTACTTGGTAGTTGGTAACACTTGATCTACATGTGAATTTTTTTTAATTATTTAAACTACTTAATATGATGAAGTGTTTATGAAAGTTGGATTTTTTTTTTTCTAAAGCATATAAAAATTAAAATATAGCTAGATAGTCCCAAATACCGAACCGAACCAAATCGAATCGAACCGTTCCGATAGTCCCGAATACTGAACCGAACCGAACCGAATAATGAAAATCTCCGAACCGAACCGTCCCGATTTTTTGGTACGGTTCCGGAGATCGAATTTAGTGATCTCCGAATTTTGGGATGGTTCTGGAGATTTGTCGATCTCCGAACCGTACCGACCTATGCTCAGCCCTAGTTAATTTATGTTTGAGCAGATTTTGTGAGGGAATGTAAGGATTTATTTCCTTGATTTGAGGGATTGAAATTCCTTTGGGGCTGGAAAGTGTGTAGAATTAGGATTTCTATTTTTTTTCCTTTTGGTTTGCAATTGGCGAGAACAGTACAAAAAACAAAATTGTGAATGTTGAACACAACAGTAAAAAGAAGATTCATGTTGTTTGAAAAATTGGACGAGATTGAGTGGGAGAATCTCGCTATTTTGGAAAGGCTGGAAAAAAAGGTTAACTCGATCCGAGTGGAGGTACTTGGAGGAGTTTTTGGAGGGGGGCGATGNGTTGATGCCCGATGACGAGTCCTTGAGAACAAGAACAAACTCGAAGGGGGAAAGAATGATGCGAACCGAACTTTTGAGTATAATCGAATTGTGTGGATTATTGCGGGAGAAGTTGGTTTTTCATGCAAATTACATAGGATAAACTATGTTAGTTATATTTTAAATTTTAAATATGTTGGTTAGGATTAGTTATAGGTTTAAATATTTAAACTTGAATGATGTTTGTAGTATTATAAATAGGATCTTTATATGCATGTTTGAAAATCAAGTTTAAAGTAATAAAAATTAAGAAAGAAGCTTGTCTCCGAGTCATTTCTTCGTGAAAAACCGAGGCCGATAGTGCAGACTTTTCACTTATTAATGTGTCAACCAAGGCCGTCAATACAGGTTTACACATTTTATCGTGTTCGAACCAAGGCCGTGAGCGTGGGTTCTTACACAAAATCGAGTCCCAATACACGACCTTCATCACTCTCATATAGCTCAGTTTTAGGTCGGAGCTCCCTCAACTCGAGTTAGAGAAATAGGTCGGGTAAGTCGAGGTAGGTCCTTGACAAATTGGAGGTCGAGTTAGCGACCTGGTGCCTAGGTGTCCTAAGTCTCTAACTAGCGAGCTGGTTTGGCTCTAAAGGTGACCTCCTGCCTAATCAGGGTCGACTCAGTGACTCGATGGAGACGTTAGACGCGGGACATCTAATGAATGTTTGATATGAGGATCCTAAGGGTTTAGGAGATTGGAAGGAAATCTAGTCTAATAAGGTTTGCATATGCCTGGTTTCCTTAGAAAGATTGAGTTTTTGGGGGAATAGATAAATGTTTTCTTGTAAAAGATGTATGGTTATCGTCAAACGATATGTGCTATATATTCATCATAAACATTATATTATACGTCAAAGAGGGTCTGACTTGATCGAAGGCTCTACATCGGGAATCCTCCCGGTGTAGAGCTGGTTTGGCTCTAAATGGTGACATCCTGCCTAATCAGGATCGACCCTGTGACCTGATGGAGACGTTAGACATTGGACATCTAATGAATGTATGATTTGAGGATCCTAAGGATTTGAGCGATATGGAAGGAAATCTAGTCTAAGAAGGTTTGTGCATGTTTGGTTTTCTTAGAAGGATAGAGTTCTTGGGGAATAAGATAATTGTTTTCTTATAAAAGCAAATATATGGCCATCGTCAAACTTTACGTTCTATTCAATCAAACATGAATTCTCATTCAACATAAATATTGTGAATCACACCTAAAGTCAAGCTTTCAGTGTACACACTAATAATCTATGCCCACGAGCTCCTCTGGCAAAATGCGAAAATATCAACATACTCCCTCAACAACCTAACCAAATCAACTTTAATATCCTTCGTCAGTGCCGCTTCAACCTCTGTAATCTTTCTTGGCTCTCCTTCAACTAGCTCCATTTCCATGAGCTCGTCCTGTGAGATCATATCTGTCCGAGCCTCCTTTCCCCCACCAAGCTCTCCCCTTGACTCTTTTCACTTCTATCTAGCCTTCAGTACCGTCTGGTATTACGTCCTAGTTGATCGCTGATCCCCCGTGGCCTCTCCCACAGGGTCCTCCATAGAGAACTTCATCTTCATGCAATATGTCGACACTACGGCCTGGAAAGAATTCAAACTCGGCCGACCTAGAATGACATTATAAGCTGATTCCGCCTTTAATATTAAGAATCTCACCATCTTGACTTTCCTTAGAGGAGGAGCTCCCAAAGCAATCGACAACTGCACCTCCTCCAAGGGTACCACCCCGGCTCCGTTGAGTCCGAACAAAGAGGTTCTGATAGGTTTGATCTCGACATCTAGATCCATCTTCCTAAAACACTTGAAGAAAATGATGTCCGCCGAGCTCCCAGTATCAATGAAGATACTCTCAACATTATAGCCATCAATTTTCGTCGTTACTAAGGCATCGTTATGGGGAATCGAGATACCCTATGAATATTTGGCTTTAAATTTCAATTTCGGCACATCTTGTACAATTTGGACCTCCGCTACACTCTCTCAATCTCCTCTCAAGTTAGCACTCCTAGCATGTTGAAATCACCATCCGTCGGCCCCCCCTGCAATCATATGAATGACCCCTTTTTTGGGAGGTCGCACTTCTGACTTCTCTAGTCTTCTCCTTTTATCACCCAACTCCTTATCATCCTCCGTCTCTCTATCTTGGACTACAAACTCCTTCAAATGGACTGCTCTTATAAGCCTCTCTTTCTCATCCTTGAGCTCTTTATAGTTGTTTGTCCAATGACTGTAATCACAAAAAGGATCTCCACATACCGACATTTGCCCCTTCTTCTTAAGTAAAGGCTGAGGCTTCCCCAACATGTCAGTAACACCTAGCTTCTCTAAAGTCTTGTAAACCTGACCTCCCAGGAACACCAATAGTGTATACTGCTCATACTTAAATCCGATACGCCCTTTCTTGTCACCATTAGCATCTCTAACTCCCGACCTCCTATCATCCTGCCTATGCCTCTCCTCGTGCTTCTTTCCTTCAGCTTAATCATTCAAAAGAAATATGCCGCAGTCTCCTCCATGTTCATGTATTTGGTACACCGCTCCAATAGCTCGTCATACGACCTAGCCAGTTTCTTGCCCAGAGAATATTGACAATGAGTTGGTCAGAGACCTCACGTAAGACCTCCTACTTTGATCTCCTCCGACGCAGATGGGAACTCCACACAAGCTCGTGCGTACCGAGCTACGTACTCCCTTAAAGATTCATTCTTGCACTGCAATCAGTGTGAGATATGCCTTCTCGTGCTTCCGAGCACTAGAAAATTGGTTAATGAACAAAGAGCTAAACAAATTAAAGCTGTAGATAGATCCTGCTGGTAGCTGGTGGAAACAATCCTGAGCAGAGCCCTTCAAGGTCGTAAAAAAAGTCCTGCAACAAACCGCATCAATGTACCGGCAACACATTCTCAAAGCTCCTCAAATTCCTAGCTGGATCATAGGACCCATCATAGACCATGCTCGACTTTCTGAAATTCTGAGGTTGATCAACATCCAAAATGTCATCTGAAAAAGGGATGACCTTACACCCATGGTTGTTGTTGTGCTTGCACCTTGGCCCGAAACTCCCGAATCTGATTAGCTATACGCTCTAGCGCCACGTCTCTCGGCGGCCTATTAGTCATCGGCGACATAATGGACCTCTCCTCTTGCTCTTCTCGCCTCCCGCTCACGCGCACTGTCGGCCTAGAGATAGTCAGGGTGTGTTGCTCCACCACCGACACCACCTTTGAACTTCCTTCTATCGGTTGCTCCACCCCCACTCCTGGCTGCTCACCCACCACTATCGGCTTCTTCCCCGCCACCTGAGGCTGCGACACCTCGACCTACCAATCGCATCCGCAATGATCTGATCTAGTTCCCCCCTAGTAAGCTGTATCACTTGTTCACTACCCCCCACCGGAGTTCCTTGACCCGGGGTCTCCACAACCACCTCCTTAACTTTTCCCTGATCGACCAACTCTAGATCCAGCTCCAGCGTCATGGCCTGATTCACCACTGGCAAGTTCATCTAAGAGGTAACCATCGCCCCGCCGTCACCAGCCCTTCCTGGAGGTGGTTCGACACCAAAAGGCGTCTTGGCTGCCCAAACCTCTTCCAAGCTCTCATCCAAATTCCTCCTCATCCTCTCATCCGCCATAGTCGTCTTCTCCATCCTAGTTTCCTCTGCAACTAGTAGAAAAACATAGTCAAACCACAAATGACGTTAATTGATGTGCAGTTTCACCTCGAACAGGGCTCCATGATCCCTCAACTCTCCCTGGAGACCTGCAGAGACGCCGAGAGATGTTCCCAGCGTTAAACCTCTGACGATCAAATCAGTAAAGAGATATGAAAGCAGACTCAATGGAAGCGGTTCTAACAAGTATGGAAATATACTCAAAGCTTAGAGTATAAAATGTGTTTAACCTTTACCTTTTCCCGATTTTACTTATTTATAAGAGATTATCAACTTTCTCAACAAGCTTCTACTCTGCCCGACTGCCCATCGGTTACCAAGCTACTCTTAGGTCTGCATGTTTATTAGGTTTTTTATTCTCATCTGTCTGACCGTTTACACCTTTTATTTATGATCCTACAAGTGTCTTATGAACAATTCTGATTCGACCTATTATGCAAGTCGATTCGCTTTCTACTGAAATCATTTACCTAGCTACAGAATGTCGAGCTACTTGATACTCGAGCTATAAATTCGTCGATACCTGCCAGGTTGTCTGAGCTCCTTATATACCGAGCTGCAGACATTACTATGTTCCTCCGAACTTCTTATATACCGAGCTACAGACATTACTATATTTGTTTGAGCTCCTTATGTGTCAAGTTGTAGACATCACTGTGTTTGTCCGAGCTCCTTGTATAACGAGCTATGGATATTGGACTCTCTGAACACTTATTTCTCTTAATCAACCGGCCTAGCTAATCTTCGATATATATCTGAGGTAACCACAATCGATTCAATTGAGCTATCTCTATGTGCGATATCATACATATGTTGTATTTATAGAAGTGTTCCAAGATATACAGTAAATACTATTTTATTTTATTTTACCTTTTTATTGTTTTTGCATGTACCTTATTAAATAAAATATCTATTTAGATAACTTTACTCACAACATCAGGCCCCTTTTTAACACCGACCGCACAACATGCAGGTGGCGTACTAGTAAATTTATTTAGTCTGTCTTAAGTTTTAACCATTAGGGCAAAAGTGACTTGCGTAGATAACCCTGTTGTAGAACTATGAGAGCATCGTTGAACAAGTGACGGCAGTAGTGAACCCACACCGCAATTCTAGATCACTCACTAATCACTATACATAGTATTTTATAAAGATCAGGACTCTGGCACATTAATCGATGCTCGCCATTAGAGTCACTTCCATCTCCCTCAATCTACACGCTCCGACTTCAGCTTCACGCCTCTCTCATCTCGCCCCCTCGATTTTAACGAAATTTCAATTTAGGCCCTTCTGGGGCGTTTCTTCAACGTTCACGCCCCTCTCACCCCGAAGATCATCTCCATCAGCCTGCAATATGGCTTACGCAACTGCTCAGGCCACACTTGGCCTCACTCAACCTAATCAGATGGACCCGCCAAAGGTATTTGTCTTTTTTTCTTTGCGTTTTCTTGTTACGCGTCGCGGTTAGCTGATATATCATCATATATGTGTTTTTTCGTTTTTAAATGTTTGACATGATTCAATCCGACTCCTTGATCGATATTTTCTGACTGAGCATGTTTGGGTGAAAAATGAATGGCATATTGTTTGCTGTTTTATATCAGCGATATTACTGTAGCATAGTTAAATTGATTTTGAATCCATAGTTATTGGGATGCACAACCTCCTACAACTTTTATTTTTTCATGTGTGGTTGAAACCTTTCACATTAATTTCGTGTCATAGTTGCATATCTTATTTCTAGCGTCCTGTGTCAGTGTGTGTGTGTGTGTGTGTGTGTGTGTGTGTGTGTGTGTGTTACTTTGGATTGGCATAAACCAAATTTGTATAAATAATAATTTGACATGTTTGTTTTATGTTCTGACTAGATCTCATTCACTGCAAAAGAGATTGATTTGGTTGAATGGAAAGGAGACATACTTGCCGTTGGCGTGACCGAAAAGGACATGGCGAAAGACGAAAATTCAAAATTTAAGAATCCAATCCTCCTAAAGCTCGATACCCATTTAGGGGGATTGCTCTCAGAAGCCTCATCTGAGGAGGATTTTACTGGGAAATCAGGACAGTTGACACTTCTTAGGCTTCCTGGCTTTGGTTCGAAAAGAATAGGTCTGATCGGGCTCGGCTCAACAGTTACACCGGCTGTGACTTACCGCAGTCTGGGAGAGGCTGTTGCTTTAGCAGCCAAGTCATCACAGGCAAGCAATGTGGCCATTGCAGTTGCTTCATCTGAGGTCATCCCTGCAGAATTAAAGCAGAGTACAGCCTCAGCAATAGCTGCTGGTACTTCTTTTTTTTTTTTTTTAAATCTCTGTTTAAATGTGTGTCCATTTGAATCTGAACCGGCTTATTATTGAGGTTGAGTTTTTTTGTACAGGGGCTGTTTTGGGGACTTTTGATGATAACAGATTTAAGTCGGAATCGAAGCTCCCGTCTCTTAAGTCGGTGGATATTCTTGGGCTTGGTACTGGGCCTGAGATAGAGAAAAAACTCAAATACGCGGGTGATGTTTGCTCTGGTATCATCTTTGGAAAGGAGCTTGTAAATTCCCCGGCCAATGTACTCACTCCTGGTTCGTAATATTCCATTTTTTATCATTCTAAATTCTTCTCTTTTTCGAATTAAGTTTTACCAAATAAGAATTAGGGATACTGACTGAAGTTATTCTTGTGGTTAGAATGACTACAATATTTCCATATCATTGCACATTATAGATATCGCATGCCTGATAAACACTGAACACTGACCTGCCTCAAGGTTGCAATTTGTAAAATAATTTCAATTGTCAATAGGGTTATTTATCTGGATTCTGTCTCTAATCAAGCTGAACAACCAGGGTAACATCCGTAATTAACTGTAAAAGATATGGACTTTCGTGTTTGTGCTGATGGGGGATCCCCAAGATTTTCTTTTTCTTTCCCTCTTTTTTTTTATTCAAAAAAAAAAAATGAGGTTCTTTCTCTATATTGTTTTTCGGTGATAATTTGGCCCTTCTATATGGTAAATTGGTCCAATCTTTCAATTTGTCTCTTTTTGTAAATTTCAGGAGTACTAGCAGGCGAAGCCAAAAGGATTGCTTTGGAGCACAGTGATGTATTGACTGCAAAAATATTAGATGTGGAACAGTGCAAAGAATTGAAAATGGGTTCGTATTTGGGTGTGGCTGCAGCTTCTGCCAATCCTCCTCATTTTATCCACCTTTGTTACAAGCCACCTGGTGGACAAGTGAAAACCAAGCTGGCATTAGTTGGAAAAGGCTTGACTTTCGACAGGCGAGGAAAAGAATTAATTTTGACAATTTAGTTTCCCCATTTTGGTCATGTGTTGTGCTTGTAGAGTTCTTTTCCTGTCATGCTTAGTATTGAGTAACTTGTCATTATTCAGTGGTGGCTACAATATCAAGACGGGACCTGGCTGTTCTATTGAACTCATGAAGTTTGATATGGGCGGCTCAGCTGCAGTGCTAGGCGCAGCAAAAGCTCTTGGTCAGATCAAGCCTGCTGGAGTAGAGGTATACTCTATCTTTCTCTCTCTCTCTCTCTCTCTAATGGATGCTTATGCAGGCTATGCTGTTTGCATGATTTCTTCACTACCAAGTTATAGTTATTTGTTATCCCCATTTTGTTCCCTCCTATGATTACATTTTTTGATCTGCTAGAATTTGGAGATGGATTAAATCTTATAATTTTACAGGTTCACTTCATTGTTGCTGCTTGTGAAAATATGATAAGTGGAACGGGTATGAGACCTGGAGATGTCATTACTGCGTCGAATGGGAAGACGATTGAGGTTATCCTTTGCATTACATATCATTGATTAAAAAATTTTCTTTTATTCTTGGGGTGTGTTGCCATTTCTTACCTTCTATATTAATTTACTTTACTTTTTACCTGACATATACACCTCCGTACGCGGAGGCAGAGTCATTTTTTTTTTTTTAACTTTTCTCTCTGTAACTGTAGGCAATACTATTTTCTAGTTCAATTTTGATGTACTAAATTTGTTATCGATCTTGATTGTTTCCTGTCTCACAGTTACCTCACGAATTTCCCTTTCTCATGATATTTTTCCTCTCATATTTTTTTGCTATGGATAAAGTGATATCAAAGATTTCTTTCTCGGTTTCTAGGTATTCCATAAATCTCTATTATATAGTAGCCAAATAAGATTAAAGAACTAAAATAAGAATCAAGGAAATAACATTTTGATTATCTTAGTAAATCTGGGATTTACTCCTAACAAGATATGAGTTTCAGGAAAGTCATGCTCAAGTAAGAAAGGAGTAAATAAATTAATTTTCTTCCTCGAACATTTTTAAATAAACTGAAGTTTGGCAACATTAGATTTTCTTTATCTTTTCTTAAAATGCAAATATGGAATCCACTTTTTATCAGCATTGCAGTCTCAATTAGTTTTATGCAGTGGTGGATGCCAGTGTGCCTTTTTTCTTTCCTTAATCTACTTTGTGTTTGTCGATGCCAGGTTAACAATACAGATGCTGAAGGTAGACTCACACTTGCGGATGCACTGGTATATGCTTGTAATCAAGGAGTAGATAAGGTATGCTGAGTAGTAATATTATACATTGCATTATTCATCAGTAACCTAAGCATGTATAGTATATTTGTTCCATTCAACCGTGAATATTTTGGTGAAAAGGCTTAATCATCTTAAATTCCACGACTTTATGAATAATCACCTGACTTTTGCAACGGCTTATAGTAACTTAACTATTTTGTATTTTTGTGAAGTTTAATGGTGATATTGTGGCTAACATTTTGATAGTCTTGAAAAAAGTTTCCGATTTCCTTCAAAGTTATGAAATTAAAAAAATTTGAGTGACATTTTAGAAACGCATTGAGAACTAGTTTAGAAATGCACACAAATATATGTGGGTTCAACTAGTTTGCATTTGCACAAGTATATAGTATGTTAGCTATTTTACAATGTTTCATAAAATTTTACGGTGTCTCAACCCATGGGTTCTTAGTAACAGGGACTCCTGATTCTGCAATCACAACTGAATCTTCACTATTTTTGTATTTCTGTGAAGTTTAATGGTGATATAATTAGCTAACATTTTGATAGTCTTGAAGAAAGCTTAGGTAATCAATTTCCTTTGAGTTATGAAATTAAAAAAAAAAAATTGGAGTTACATTTTAGAAAAGCATTGAACTAGTTCAGAATGCACACAGTCACACACATACATGTGGGTTCAACTAGTTTGCATTCACACACAAGTACATAATCTATTTGTAATTCAGTTGAAGTCACACACAAGTACAACAACTTTTTGTTTATGTGTAGATTGTTGATCTGGCTACACTGACTGGAGCCTGTGTTGTTGCTCTTGGGCCTTCTATTGCTGGTAGGTCATGTGCTGTAAGTTTTCTTTATGGTTAATTGAGACTTGAAAGCAATGGCAAACTAAATGACGGTGAATAAAAATATTGAGATCCATCGTGGGCTACGTCTCTGGAGTATATTTATTATATATTCTTCTGTGATATACTTGTATGTACATTAATGGTAATTTTCTGGCCTAATCTAAAAAAATTACTTATACATCCTTATTGGTTTTACCAATCGGACTGCACCTATTGTGACACGATTGAACATTAAGAATAGTTTTTGGGATTTAACTCCGAGCTGATTTTGCACTGATAGATGTTTAATGGCTTTCATTTTACTTGTCAAAATACAGGTGTTTTTACGCCAAGCGATGAGCTAGCAAAAGAAGTACTTGGAGCCTCGGAGGTTAGTGGGGAAAAGCTATGGAGGTTGCCATTGGAGGAAAGTTATTGGGAATCAATGAAATCAGGAGTGGCTGATATGGTCAACACAGGTGGCCGTCAAGGTGGGGCAATTACAGCTGCTCTTTTCTTGAAGCAGGTAAAAAGAAAGAAAAAAATTGCTTCAGGATCCTTTTTTCTTGCCCTTGTGGTGCATGTGGCTATTGAAGTGTGCTTATATTAGGGTACACTACACCAAATAAGTTGTTAACAAACACGAAGCATTGTTCTTGTCTAATCATGCTAGCTTTGAGATTAAGCTTAAGCATAAGAACTAAGGTTACTTTTATTAAAAAAAAAAAAGGGAAAATGAACGACAGGTACAGGCTAGTCACATATTTATTTTCAAAAATGCAATTTAAAAGTTTACAAAGGCCCACTTGATGTTTCTTCTGGGCTAATGCTATGTTTGGTAGACAAATAAGTTAGCTTATACCTTATTTAGTTAGCTTATAAGCTTCCTATATTCAAATAAGTTTCGTCTGGTAGACGAGCTTTTTTAAAAAGCTCGAGCTTATCTCATAAGCTTCTTCTTTGGGTAGCTTTTCAAATAAGCTCGTTTAAATTTTTATTTCAGCTAGCTTATCAGCTAATTTTACCAAACACTTATCATATAAGTTAGTTATTCAGCTATAAGTCATAAGTTATAAGCTATAAGCTCGAAAATCACTTAATAAGCTATAAGCTAGCTTATCAGCTAGCTAGACCAAAAAGATGGCCTTAAATGAGAAACTTTAATATTCTTCATCTTGTGTAGGGGTCTTAAAATGAAGGAAAATACCCAAGACTTCATGTTTCCTCCCGGGAACCTTGGATGGGATTGTTGTAATCTTTCCAAAGAGTTGACCAAATTTTGCAAAACAATGTTGAAACTAAGAAATTAATCATTCCGTGCATCTCCAACACTTCTTATAGATCACTATTAACCAAACATGCAACTCTATTTGTGATGAAAAATCTAATTGTTTGGAAACTGTTAGTAAGCTGTCCTAAGAAATTGAATTCGTCTCTTTTTGCAGTTTGTGGATGAGAAGGTGCAGTGGATGCACATAGACTTGGCTGGCCCAGTTTGGAACGATAAAAAGAAAAACGCAACTGGATTTGGAGTTCATACTCTTGTTGAGTGGGTCCTAAAGAACTCTAATTAAAATTCAAAGCTTATACATACTCAAATAAGAGGAGTTGAATGCAGCAGATGTCTCAGTGCCATATTAGGGGGAAAGTTTGTTTTGTGGTATAATGTTTGTGGCCTTATACGTTATGTCTTTGGAATATTGTTATGTAGTACTTTTTGGATCGCTTTTGTGTGTGGTAATTTCATTGAGTTGATTTTGATGCACAACTACCAACTTGCCCCATAAATGCAAGTTCAGTTAGCTGCAGGTTTAAGTTGAATAACAACTTGAACAGTGGTGAGGATCGAATTATAGTCCAATTAAACCGGCTGTCTAATACAAAAGCTTTGTTCATATGGAGTCGGTAAAAAGTCAGATTGACTAAAACATCTTGCTGATACTGAGTCGGCGAAAAATAGATTGATAGTCAGATTGACATTAAGCTCTTGTTGATACTGAGTCGGCTAAAAGAAGGATTAATTGCATATGATATACTTCCTCCTGTTCATAATATGTGTCGTTCTTCTTGTTCATAATATGTGTCGTTTTGACAAGTTGCACAATAAGTAAGAATCTTTGTTTTGCCAATAATAACTTTCTTTAATGAAAATTAATAACATGAAAATTAATAGTGGATAAGAAAATGCGTAGTGTATTTATTAACTAAATGAAGATAATAATGAAAAATATATACAAAAGATTCAAAACTTTATTTATTTGGTTAATAGTTGATAAAATTAAAATAATATTTAAAAAAAATAAGAAGGAATATTTTTATGAGCATGTGGATTCATATTTATTTTTTGGAGAATGTATTGCATGTACAATAACATAATGACAAAGACAAAATGTTTTAAAAGCACTTTTGCTTTTGCAGTGAAGTTTGGTTCTCCGAGAGATGTAACTTTTGCATGAGATAGATTAGGCATAGCTTATTTTATGCACATTGCCGTGAGATATTGTTTCACATGTGTGAGATGAATTGAATTAGCTTATTTTGTGCTCATTGTCCAATGCGATAATGTTTCATACGTGTGAGATGAATTCAATGCGCAATTCCAGTGCCTCGTGAGACATTGATTTGAGCATGCGATACGTCTTAGGCTAGAATTTTATGACTTCTGATTATATATTAAGCTCCATAAAAAAAAATAAAAAAAAAATGATTGGGTCCTCTATTTACGGTTTAAATTTGAGTTTTTTCTTTTTTTTTTGGGCTTGAGTGGAGCCTGCTAAGGCTAATCTGTCTCATTTTTATAAATACATATAAGATTTCAATAAGTATATATTTTAGTTATAGGAACAAGATTAGTTTTACTTATTCTTCTTTATATAACAATGAAATACTCCTCTTATTCAAAAAATATTTGTCATATTATATTTTAATATTATTTTTTTTTCAGAAATGTAAAATGATTTATTTTTTTCAAATGAAAGCTATATTTCTTGAACTCCATGATGAAGGCAATTTGATAATGATAATCCAATGTTATTGATCCTTTTTTCAAATGTGGCTTCTTCACTTCTTAACAGTGTTCTACAAGTCGTTAGCGCCCGCTAGGCACTCGACCAGCGCCTAGAACCTAGTCGGGGCCTAGTAATCATGATCTTTTTTATAGAACGATAGAATTTCATAAAAATAACACATAATTATAACTAGAAATCGGCTAAAAGCCGAATTCAAAGGGAGGACATCCCCGAAAGGAGCTTAGATAACAACGCACCCACAATAATCCTAACTCCCAACAGNAAACTCCAAACATAAACACAAATAAAAACAACCCTTCCCACAACTAGACTACCGCTACAATCAAGACCCGACGACAGCCACCTAAAATGACCGTTAAGTAAATTTGCATCATTATATATTAATTTAAGTATTAACTAAATATCATAGTTATAAGAACCGGACCGGACCGGTTGGCATACCGGTCCCGGTTGAGGCACATAACCGCTTTGGTCAAAAACCAGACTCGAATCGCTCAAAACCGTTGAAAACCGGTAAAATTAGACAACCAGAAACGGCTCACGCGGGTCAGCGACTTCTGTTTAGGAACCTGACTGCCATTGTCAATGTTATTGTATAAATAGCTGGTTATTTCTTGTGTGTTTTCAATGTGGGATAGCTAACTTACATGTGCTTTTTTCGTACAAAATAATAAATCTTTGTCCATAAGTAACAGTTGTGTGTGTGGCTTAGTGGTAGGAGTTTTCCTTTGCATGTATGAGGTTGGGAGTTCAAATCTTTAAGATGCTTGAATGATAGTTAGTTAAAATTATGTTAGTAGATGAATAGTGAATTAAAGTTGATGTGATGTGTAAGAATGATTGATTGATATTATTTAATTATATTGATAATAGTGATGATAGTGAGGTTGAGTTAAAGTTGAGTTAAAAAAAGTAATTGAGTTAAAAATGTTTGGATTTTTTTGAGAAAATTTGTATCCAAGCATCCTCTAAGTCCTCTATTCTATTATTTTTTTTCATCTTTGTATGACTTATGCATCATTCCTTTTTTTTTTTCATTATTGTCTTTGTATGATTATTATGCACCTTTCCAACATACATGTGTAGCAATTTCAAATTTTAATCACAATCAAAGCTCAAAATTGATTTTTATTTTTTATTCATTACACAATGAAAACTGAAAAAAAATAAATTAAAATCCGATTTAAAAATGAAAATACAAATTACAAACATGTAGTTGTAAGTTGTGTCGAAATTTAGTATTTTTTATGATAAAAATACAAATAGGATATTAATTATTGAACTCTTATTAAAAAAAATGTCATTATATACTATAAAATTAATGATAAAAATATATACAACTATACATTATACATATGAAATAAATAAAATAATTATATATTAATTAAACCGGTTCGACCGGTTTGACCACTGGCACGACCACTGAACCATTGAACCGGTAGCTTAACCGGTTCGATGACTGGTTCGGTTTTCAGAACATTGCTAAATATGCATAATGAATTAACTAAATATGCATCATTATATATTCAATTTAAATATAACAAATTATGCACTATGAATGAATTAAATATGCATTTCGGATGAACTAAATATGCATCATAAATTAAATAAATATGCATCATTATATATTTAATTTAGATATAATAAATATGCATTTCGTATGAATTAAACATTTATTTTGTATGAACTAAATATGCATCGTGAATTAACTAAATATGCATCATGTATATATTTAATTTAAATATAACAAATATGCACTATGAATGAACTAAATATACATTATGAAATAGGTATGAATTTCTTATTCTCAACTAAGTATGCATTATTTATGACTAAAATATTCATGATGTATTATCTAAATATGCACAAGAAATAAACCAAATATGCATTAATTATATAATATAAAAATTGAATGATCATATCTATATATATATATAAAGATTTACTATTTACCATAAATAGTAAGAAGAAAAAGTCAATACATATTAATTACATACTATTTTCAGCTATTTTTTATTTTATGTGTTAATTCACTTCCCAAAAAATCGGTTGGCCTTAAGTCGGTTATTTTTTAGCTATTTTTTATTTCATATTTTAATTCACTTCTCAAAAAATCGGTTATTGTGTATCTAATTTACAGGCACGCATAATATATAAGTTTTTAGATCAAAACATAATCTACTTTAGTTTATATACCATATCTTACTTTATATAATTAAATATTAAAAATGGGTCATATTATAAAATTAGTCATAAACTTTATGTCTTCTCCTTTTTTATTCATAAAAAACTAATTGCAAAGAAAATCGAATGCAATATTTAATTGATAATTTAAAATTCTAAATTTCTTGCCACTCGATTGCCATAAAATCAAATAATAAATAATCGCATATAATAGATGTAAAATGTGGCTCATCCACAATTTGAATTGGAAAAAATCAAATCACATATATTTATATAATTGAACAACCTAAAATTAAGGAATTTTTTTCAAATTCCGACCGATCATGAATTCAATATCAAATCAACTTCATAATTTCACATAGTTCAGACTCTTTTGAATTATTCCAAAAATTCAGATATCTCCAAATTTTGATTTCAAATTTCAAGTAATTGTTTACTATTATATCTATATATATTGAAAAAGGTTGATGGAAAAATCATTTGTAGAAAGTTTGACCAAAAAAATATAATGTTTGACTTACTATTAGTAGAAATTTTTAGTAACAATTAACAAAATCTGAATCTTATTCATTTGGTAACAAATTTGGAGATTCTTATGACAAAATTTTGAATCCCACTTTTTTTGTATTATTTTTTTTACCACAATCTAAATCCCATTTTTTAGGTAACAAATTTAGAAATTTTTATGCAAAGAGTGTGTCAATTATTTATGAAAATAATTTCAAATACAAATTAATTTAAAAATCTTGCAAATTGGATACAAATTTGGGAAACAAATAATTGTATAATTCTTAACATTCGTCCAATATTTTTGAATAATTTTATCTTTCAACAAATGTGTGCAAATTGAAAAATACCACGTGTAATTTTAAATTTAAAACAAAGTTGAGATTTGGACGGGATTTACATTCAAAATCGTATCCATGCTTGTTTATAACAAAATCGGTTAATCTTTGATTTTAAAATAAAACTTTATCCAGTTATTTAGAAAAAAATTCAATAATATCAAAATCCTGTGTAACTTTTACAAGACCGTGTGCAACTTTTCAAAAATGCACCAATATTTTTTTATTCTTATGTTTTTTTCTTAACTATGTTTATCGAGATTTTGGTAAGTTCATATAATTTTTTTTCGTTAAGTTCGTATCAATTTTTTGTAAGAAAGAAACAATTTCATAAATTTTAAGTTTTTAACAAATTATTTCTATTTTTTATTAGAATTAATTTCATTTTAATTTGTTTGGTAAAAAAAATTGGTGCAATGTTAGGACAATTTGGTTGCATTTTTAGGAAAAAATGATGATTCTTTTCACTTTGTTTCAACCAAATATCCGGATCAATTTGTTTGGTAAAAACAATCGGTGCATTGGTAGGAAAGTCGGTTTCATTTTTAGAAAAAATTAATTATTCTTTTCAATTTTTCATAATCACAACATTGAATTAGATTTTTTATTTTTTTTAAAGAAAAGCGTGAAAATCTTAAAAGTTTCTACTTTTGGTCTACTAGAATTTTGTTTAATAAATAAGATCCCTTAATTATTTTAAAAAATATAATTTGTTAACTAATAACTCATAATATGCAATTTTACATAATTTTGAACATACATAAAGTACTTTACGAGCCAAAGAATCAAACCAAGAATGTTATAAGGAAATGTTCAATAACATATAATTTTCATTTTCATGACATTTTTATTGTCATTAGACAAATTAAATATAAAAATAAATTTTAAAAGGCAAGTAAGTAATAAATGCTTCCGTGCATCGCACGGGCACTGTACTAGTTGGAAATGGATAGAATATCCGTTTTTATAAGGAGTCTTTCTAAAGAAGAATTTGATTTACTTCATTCTCTTTGTCATAATTGATGAATTTTTCATGCTATTTTTTTTAATAGATACAAGATGAATTTGCTCATCTCGGACTCTATTGCAAATGCCACTATTGTTCTTTGGGACAAAGAATCAGAGATCATAATTGGAAAATCATGCCATCCTTTTATGACAACATGTTTAATAATTATAGATACTTATATATCATTTTATTAATATTTATGTAAATAAAATAATATTTTATTATAATTTTATTAATATACAGTAAATATAAGGTTTTTAGAATCGGACCCTCATCAAAACAATCAAAGTTATATTATTATATCATTTATGGTTTCTTTAGATTTTAATTTATAAATATTTTAATATTTTATAATTACTTAAATATCTAAACAATTTATAAATTCAAATGTTTAAACTAATTGATAAAAAGTTTATAAATCTCTATTTTATTTAAATATGTAATTTTATTTAAAATAATTTTAAATGTAGTAAAATCGATTTAGAAAATCGTATCGATCCTACCAGTCCAACCGATCGGTGTTGAAGGATTCGATAGCAAATATTTTATTCAAGCGAACTAGACTGGTTATAAACCGATTCCCGGTCCATCCGGTCGGACTGTGTCCAACCCGATTTAATTTAAAAATAATAGGTAAATTATATTCAAATTTCAAACTATTGCAATAACTCTTAAATTTCTAAAATTGTGACCAAGTCTCCATAACTCATCTAATTTCCAAACCTATGCCCCTATCCCCAAATTGAGTTTCAGCCCCAAAAAATCCACCTCCTCCCGAGAAAACCGTCCTCTGCTAATCGAGTTGCCGTTCCCACTCTCTCATTGGCCAAAATCTCAGAAAAGCCCCTGCCGTCGTGGGAATCCTCGAAGCAGAAAGACGTGGCTGAGCGAGGGCAGCAGCTGGTACCCGTCGGTAAGAGCTGTTCGAGGCCTGTAACGATGAACTCGTACGGGAAGAGCTGGTCGAGGCCGACATCGATGAACTCGCACAGGCACACTGACTCTGCACACGTTGATGAAGGCCTGAGATGGAAAATTTTTAATAAGTTATGTGTATGTATTTATGCTTATTATGAAATGGAAAATTTAGATAAATGAACAAGCAATTTTTTTATGTAAATTTTATGCTTTAAAGTCTTTTTAATACTATTATCTCTTAAATATTTGTTACATCAACATTAGCAATTAATTACTTTTTACATAATTAGGAAAATTCAAGAGAGAAAATACTGAGACAACTTCTGGTAATTTGAGTTTGATCTGATTGCACACCTAGGTCAAGGGGACAGGGTTCCTGGTCATAAAATAAAAAATAAATATATATTCCCAAAATATATTTATTACGAGTATTACTGAGCCTGAAATGTTTCCAAAATACTAATTGTATACTTTTCATTATCACTTGTATATGTATATATTATGATATATTATGATATATGGTCTTTGTGTTCACATTTCTGGAGAAGGTCAGTTGTGGTTCTTTTACAAATGTTAATTACTCATTTCTCCGTGTCCCTTTGCTATGCTTTTCATTATTATTATTTGCAACTAGTTCGAACAAGAGTCAATTTATTTTCGTAACATTAATAATGAATTGCATAATCTTGAGACAGAAAGGTGAAAAACACTAAAATTAATAATATATGATATGATGACTACTAAAGAAGTCATTTTTACACAGCTATGCTCCACGTGGCATGCCGCATCGTGGTCCGATCTCCTGTGGCGCCACCTCACCCAATGCATTTGGAAAGCTGGCGTCCTCCTCCGCGACACCTGGTGGGACGAGTACATCCACCGCCACTGGACCGCCAACAACTTCCGGCTAAGCCCCGCTGCCTACACCCCTCTCTACTTCAATCCAGCAACAAACAACGAGAACAACGACGGCCTCGCCTGCGGCCGCCTGGCCACCGGATTCACCAACGGGGCGGTCCACCTGTACCGCCTCCCGAATGGGGCCCACCTCTCGGCCTTCCACCTGCCGCCTCGCCAGGAGTACAGGCTCAGCCGGTTCTCGAGCGCCGTGGCCGGGATCGTGCTCGCGGACGATGATGCGCGTGTCGTTTTCGCCACGCTGGACGGCGACGTCCACGTGGCGAACCCGTGTGATAATATACATTTAATATCTCTAACTATTAAATTATACATAAAAATCCAAAAAATATCTCTTTAATTAAATCATATTAGGATAACTATACACATTTAATATACAAATATTTTCTAAAAAAATATCTCTAACTTTTACCTTTGTGATAATAGATTTCTGCGAGTTATTCTCTCATCTATCTTATCTCGAGATGAAGGCACGAAAGTCGTTACGTCGTCAGTGACCGTAATTTGGTGGATTCATTTTCGTCATGTGATCGATTTCTTTACGAAAACTCGATATGCAAGGTTGAAAGAAGATGCAGATGGTTGGAATAATGTTGTTGTCCAATTTCTTGAGACTAATGGGGTAGTTTATGAGGATAACTATGGGGTTCGCGATCCAGAGGACCATAATTGTAACCGATATCTTCGCTTTAGGAGGCGGAATCAGAAGTATTTGAGGGTCAAGATGATTCCAGACACCGACGAAGAGCTCCAAGAGATGCCGGTGGAGTCAATTAGGGAGGCAATTAATGAGGAACTAGCTTCTATTCGGGTGAGGGTAGATTTATATGATGCCAATGCAGATAAATAGTGGGAACGGACTTGAAATTGGCACTTGATGATGAGTCAGGTCAGCAATTATTTCATACATGTATCCTAACGGGTCATGAGAGAAAAATCGGGGTCGAATATGTAGAATTTTTAAGCAGGGGAAGAAGATTGGGTTAACCACGGATATGGGTATATTACTACTGTGGATATATCTTATCAGTTTGGGGACACGAGGTTGTGGAGATCATGGGTTGATGATGGGGCGAAAATTATGGATTGATTTTAGAGGAAAAAAGTCACACGATGATAAAAATTGTATAAGTCATTTGTTTTTTTAACAGTAATTTTATTTTTTTGGACAACCCAGAGTCAGACCTCAGATAATGAGGCGGCGGCGGCGGATGAATCCATAATTTTTAACAGTAATTTTCGACCCTGTTAAAAAAACATGACTTATAAAAATGATTTATACAACTTTTATCATCATATGACTTTTTTCCTCTAAAATCATCCATAATTTTCTCAACGTCACATGATCTCCGCAACCTCAAACTGATAAGATATCATATCACTGCGGTAATATACCCATATCCGTGATCAGTCCAATCATCTTTTGGACTTCCCATGCTTAAAATTTCTACATATTCAACCCCTTTTTTTCTCCCATGACCCATTAGAATACATGTATGAAATAATTGCTGACCGGACTCATCATCAAGTCCAGTTTCGAGTCCGTTCCCACTATTTCATCTGCATCGACATCATATAAATCTACCCTCACCCAAATAGAAGCTAGCTTTGGTTCCTCATTAATTGCCTTTCTAATTGACTCCGCCGACATCTCTTCGAGCTCTTCATTGGTGTCTGTAATTATCTTGACCCTCAAGTACTGCTGATTCCGCCTCTTAAAGCGAAGATATCGGTTATGGCCCCCTCTGGATCGTGAACCCCATAGTCATCCTCATAAACTACCCTGTTAGTCTCGAGAAATTGGGCAATAGCATTATTCCAACCATCTGCATCTTCTTTCAACCTTGCATATCGAGTTTTCGTAAAGGAATCGATCACATATGATGCCGAAAATGAACCCACCAAATTACGGTCTGACGACTCTTCCGTACCTTCATATCTCCGAGAGTGAACCCACCAAATTACGGTCTGACGACTCTTCCGTACCTTCATCTCCGAGATATGATAGATGAGAGAATACCTCGCAGAAATCTATTATCACAAAGTAAAAGTTAGGGATATTTATTTGGAAAATATATGTATAGTTATCCTAACATATATTATCACCAAATTTAATATATGCTGTTTGCTGTTTTATATCAGCGTTATTACTGTAGTATAGTTAAATTGATTTTGAATCCATAGGTATTGGGATGCACAACCTCCTACAACTCTTTTCATGTGTGGTTGAAACCTTTCACATTAATTTCGTGTCACAGTCGCATATCTTATTTCTAGCGTCCTGTGTCAGAGTGTGTGTGTGTTCCTGTTCAACGTTTGTTTGGATTGGCATAAAAAAAATTGTATAAATAATAATTTGGCATGTTTGTTTTATGGTCTGACTAGATCGTATTCACTGCAAAAGAGATTGATTTGGTTGAATGGAAAGGAGACATACTTGCCGTTGGCCTGACCGAAAAGGACATGGCGAAAGACGAAAATTCAAAATTTAAGAATCCAATCCTCCAAAAGCTCGATACACATTTAGGGGGATTGCTCTCAGAAACTTCATCTGAGGAGGATTTTACTGGGAAATCCGGGCACTTGACACTTCTTAGGCTTCCTGGCTTTTGGTCATGTATTATGCTTGTAGAGTTTTTTTCCTGTCATGCTTAGTATTGAATAACTTGTCATTATTCAGTGGTGGCTACAATATCAAGACGGGACCTGGTTGTTCTATTGAACTCATGAAGTTTGATATGGGCGGCCCAGCTGCAGTGTTAGGCGCAGCAAAAGCTCTTGGTCAGATCAAGCCTGCTGGAGTAGAGGTATACTCTCTCTCTCTCTCTCTCTCTCTCTCTCTCTCTGTCTCCCCCTCTCTCTCTCTCCCTCTCTCTCTCTCTCATGTTCCTTTCATGGATGCTTATGCAGGTTATGCTGTTTGCATGATTTCTTCACTACCAAGTTATAGTTATTTGTTATCCCCATTTTGTTCCCTCCTATGATTACATTTTTTAATCTGCTAGAATTTAGAGATGGACTAAATATTATAATTTTGCAGGTTCACTTCATTGTTGCTACTTGTGAAAATATGATAAGTGGAACGGGTATGAGACCTGGAGACGTCATTACTTCGTCGAATGGGAAGACGATTGAGGTTATCCTTTGCATTACATATCATTGTTTAAACTTTTTTCTTTTATTCTTGGGGTGTGTTGCCATTTCTTACCTTCTATATTAGTTTACTTTACATTTTACCTGACATATACACCTCCGTATGCAGAGGCAGAGACATNTTTTTTTTTTAACTTTTCTCTCTGTAACTGTAGGCAATACTATTTTCTAGTTCAATTGTGATTTACTGAATTTGTTATCTATCTTGATTGTTTCCTATCTCACATTTACCTCACTAATTTCCCTTTCTCATGATATTTTTCCTCTAATTTTTTTTGCTATTGATGAAGAAAAATCAAAGCTTTCTTTCTCGGTTTCTAGGTATTCCATGAATCTCTATTATATAATAGTCAAATAAGTCTCAACCCATGGGTTCTTAGTAACAGGGACTCCTGATTCTGCAATCGCAACTGAAACTTCACTATTCTGTATTTCTGTGAAGTTTAATAGTGATATAATTAGCTAACATTTTGATAGTCTTGAAGAAAGCTTAGGTAATCAATTTCCTTTAAGTTATGTAATCAAAAAAATTGGAGTTCCATTTTAGAAAAGCATTGAACTAGTTCAGAATGCACACATACATGTGGGTTCAACTAGTTTGCATTCACACACAAGTACATAATCTATTTGTAATTCAGTTGAAGTTAAATGTTGACAACAACTTTTTGTTTATGTGTAGATTGTTGATCTGGCTACACTGACTGGAGCCTGTGTTGTTGCTCTTGGGCCTTCTATTGCTGGTAGGTCATGTGTTGTAAGTTTTCTTTATGGTTAAATTGATATAAACTTCCAAATCTTATTTGAGACTTGAAAGCAATGGCAAACTAAATGACGGTGAATAAAAATAGGGGAATTTACACATGTAGATCCCTCATAATAAATATTTACAGATAGACGTTCCAATTAAACTTTCATCAAACTTGGTGTTTTATGGGGCTTTTATTACATATATACGAGATGAGCTAGTACTTTCTCTCTCCATCCCTTATTTACGGCTAAAAAACTGCAGCAACAAAGGAAAAAAAAAATAAATCTTATAGCTATAATTTAGGGATTCAGGAAATTGAAACGGGATTGCCAAAGAACAATCGTCCATCTAGTTGTTCATTGAAAAAAAAGCTACGATCCCGATTAAGAATAGAAAAAATTCGGTAGAATTCGATTAATCGACATCGTGAATTTGAAAAAAAAAATCGTCCAACCACCAAATATATGTTTATCTATACTATATATATACATCAAATAAACATAATCTGATAATTCTCTATTAAAAAACGTATAGTTATACATAAGATAAACAACATGTTGGACCAAATATATGTTTAGTTATACTGTATATATGCTTCAGATAAACATAATTTGATAATTTTCTATTGAAAAACGTATAGTTATACATAAGATAAACAACATATAAACAATTCTATATACATCAGATAAACATAATTTGATAATTCTCTATTGAAAAATGTATAGTTATACATAAGATAAACAACATATAAACAATTCTGAAACAAGATTGATTGATCTCACTACTCCCAACGTCACCCTTCATCTCCTCAACGAGCCCCGGCGCATCTTCGACGTTGCTTCTGATTGGGAGACGAGGAGATGTCTCTGAGCCGAGTCTTCAATTGTACAGCCGTGTGACAATCGGCGACCTCTGGAACAGAACACCGCATCGTCGATCTGGGGCGCAGACTACTTCCCACGCCCTATCGCAAGCCGTCCACCGGCCACGATCAGCACCCGTCGAGGGATGTGAAGTGGCGATCGTCCGATCTGTATGGCCAAGTCTTCTTTCATATGGCGGTGGATGTCGGCCGGAGATTTGGCTTCGCTTCTTCCTTCTGCTTCATATGGCCAAGTCTTCTGCCTCTAAATGTTGTCGGCGGCTACCCACGCCTTCAATCGAGCCGTCGAGCCACGGTCCCTGCCAACCACGGACAGTTTATCTCGGTCGTCGCTGTCGATTTTGGATTGAGTTGTGTGGATGAAAAGAGTTTGAGAAAAAAAGGGAAACAATTTAGGGTTTTGGTCTCTCTGCGCGAAGGAAGAATGATAAGAAAGAAAAAGGATGAAGAGAGGGGGTTAGGTGTAAAAGTTTTGGGGTTTTGGTCTATTGGTCCCGTTTTCTACATGATTTTGTTTTAAATCAATTATATCTCGTAAATGTGTAGAAGTTTTTCCTGTTTCGTTTTCTTAACATAAAGTTTTGAAGCTCTCGTTAAGGGAGTAATTTTCTCATAAAAATATTGAGATCCATCGTGGGCTACGTTTCTGGAGCATATTTATTATATATTCTTCTGTGATATACTTTGTATGTACATTAATGGTAACTTTGTGGCCTAATCTCAAAAAATTACATATACATCCTTATTGCTTTTACCAATCAGACTGCACCTATTGTGATAAAATTGAAATTAAGGAAAGTTTTTAGGATTTAACTCCGAGCTGGTTTTGCACTGATTAGATGTTTAATGACTTTCATTTTACTTGTCAAAATGCAGGTGTTTTTACGCCAAGCGATGAGCTAGCAAAAGACGTACTTGGAGCCTCGGAGGTTAGTGGAGAAAAGCTATGGAGGTTGCCATTGGAGGAAAGTTACTGGGAATCAATGAAATCAGGAGTGGCTGATATGGTCAACACAGGTGGCCGTCAAGGTGGGGCAATTACAGCTGCTCTTTTCCTGAAGCAGGTAAAAAGAAAGAAAAAAAGGCTCTTCAGGATAATTTTTTTTTTCTTGCCCTTGTGGAGCATGTGACTATTGAAGTGTCTTATATTAGGGTAACCTACGCCAAATAAGTTGTTAACGAACAAGAGGCATCGTTCTTGTGTATTCATGCTAGCTTTGAGATTAAGCTTAAGCTCCTATTCATGCTAGTTTTGAGATTAAGCTTAGGCATAAGAACTAAGGCCACTTTTATAAAAAAGGGGCAAAAAACGACAAGTACAGGCTAATCACATATTTATTTAGAAAAAATGCAATTTTAAAAATTACAAAGGCCACTTGATGTTTTATTCTTATTTACAAAGGCAACTTTTCAAATAAGGTTCGTTTGATAGGACGAGCTTCTCATAAGCTTCTTTAGGTAACTTTTCAAATAAGCTCGTTAAAATTTTTATTTCAGCTTATCAGCTAATTTACTAAACACTTTTATCATATAAGCTAGCTAGTCATAAGCTATAAGCTATAAGCTCGAAAATCATAAGCTATAAGCTTGTTTATCAGCTATCAGCTAGTTTTACCAAACATGGCCTTAAATGGGAAACTTTAATATTCTTCATCTTGTAAAGGGGTCTGGAAATGTTTGTTTGTTATGACTGAAAATACGCAAGACTTCATGTTTCCTCCCGGAAACCTTGTACGGGATTCTTGTAATCTTTCCAAAGAGTTGACCAAATTTTGCAAAACAAAGTTGATGATAATATGAAATTATCAATCCATGCTTCTCCAACACTCCTTATGGATCACTATTAACCAAACATGCAACTATTTGTGATGAAAAATCCCATCGTCTGGAAACTAGTAAGCTGTCGTAAGAAATTGAATTTGTCTCTTTTTGCAGTTTGTGGATGAGAAGGTGCAGTGGATGCACATAGACTTGGCTGGCCCAGTTTGGAACGACAAAAAGAAAAACGCAACTGGATTTGGAGTTCATACTCTTGTTGAGTGGGTCCTAAAGAACTCTAATTAAAATTCAGAGCTTATAGCTACTAAAATAAGAGGAGTTGAATGCAGCAGATGTCTCAGTGCCATATTAGGGGGAAAGTTTGTTTTGTGGTATAATGTTTGTGGCCCTATAAATGTCTTTGGAATATTGTTATGTAGTTCTTTTTGGATCGTTTTTGTGTGGTAATTTCATTGAGTTGATTTTGATGCACAACTACCAACTTGCCCCATAAATGCAAGTTCAGTTAGCTGCAGGTTTAAGTCGAGTGACAACTTGAACAGTGGTGAGGATTGAACAGAGCCATAATACAACGGTTTTAACAAGAGTGAGTTCGGTTCGGCAACTGAATTATAGTCCAATTAAACCGGCTGTCTGTACTACAAAAGCTCTAGTCATACGGAGTTGGTCAAACGATAGATTGACGTAAACCTCTTGCTGATATTGAGTCGGTTAAAAGATAGATTGATAGTCAGATTGACATTAAGCTCTTGTTGATACTGAGTCGGCTAAAAGAAGGATTAATTGCATATTATATACATTTTATGAGCATGTGCATTCATATTCATTCTTTAGAGAATGTATTGAATGTGCAATAACATACTGACAAGGCAAAATGTTTTTAAAGCACTTTTGCTTTTGCAGTGAGGTTTGGTTCTTCGAGAGATGTAACTTTTGCGTGAGATAGATTAGGCATAGCTTATTTTATGCTCATTGCCCAGTGAGATATTGTTTCACATGTGTGAAATTAATTGAATTAGCTATTTTATGGTCATTGTCTAGTGAGATATTGCTTCAGACACGTGAGATGAATTGAATGAGACATTATAGTGTTTCGTAAGACATTGCTTTGAGCATGTGATGCGTCTTAAGCTAGAATTTTACGACTTTTGATTATATATTGAGCTCAATCCAAAAAATAAATAAATAAATAAATAATGGTCATCTGTTTACGGTTTAAATTTGAGTTTTTTTTTTTTTNTGTAAGACCATTGGGCTTGAGTTGAGCTTGAGCAGGCTAATCTGTAGGTTAGTTGGTTGAGAAATTTACTCCTCATACAGTACCAACAAATTTTTATTGTACAAGTACGAAGTTAGACTACTTATTTGTAAAAAGACGGTGACAATTAAAATAGACACATATGTGGCAGTTTTAATATGATATATTTTAGTGAAACAAAAATTTATGACAGTTACGTGTTTCAAAGGGATGTGTATATTTTAATTAGTTTTAATCATTCCTTTCATTAACTTTCATTCGTCTCTATTAATTCGTACTTGAACAACTGTAAACCAAAATTCTCTAAACCCTAAATTTGAATTTTCGTTGTTCAACCATTCAATGCCGAAGAGAAGGGAAACGGAGCATGTGTGGGAAAAGCTAAACGATTATCAAGACAAAGCAAGATTAACTTGGTCAAGATCTCGCACAAGATTGGTTTTGTGGAGAAGGCGAAGAAGACGAAGACGAAGAGGCTGAGCGAGGTCAAAACGCCCGAGGCCGTGAAGAAGAGGAAAATCATGACAGAGGAGAAGAAGAAGAAGAAGAAGAAGAAGAAGAAGAAGAAGAAGGAGAATAATAAGGTGAGCCCCACGGCAAGGGCCGGCTGGACTCCGTCGGCGAAGATAGGTAAAAATAAGAAGTGAAAGAGGACGACTGGGGATGAGAGAGCAATGAACGGACTGTATATAACACGATTATGTTATATATATGTGCATGAATGATATACTTACAGTATATGGGGCTTGTTTTCAAGACTGTATATGTGATGTTTATATATTGTATATGTTGTGTATATAGGTAGTATATTTTCAGTTTATGGTTTCGTAGATACAATCACGTATATGTATATGTATATATATATGGTTATGTTGAGTATATAATCAGTGTTTGGTCTTTTTTTTCCTAATATATATACCAGATTAAGATTAAGTTACGGGAANATTAAAATTAAGTTACGGGAATGAGAGAGGGAGAAGAGGTGAGAGAGAGAAGAGATAAGAGAGAGAGAGCATTTTTAGGGATGATATTTTGTTATTAATGTAAATCCATTCAATTATGGTATTTCATTATTATGGTGCAACCCTTCAGTTACGTAATTTAGTTAGGAAGCTATATATCAATTCAGTGTTTTACTATCTAGCAACTACCTAATTATTTTGCTTTAATTTTGTACATGTGCAAATAATTTTAAAATTATGTAAACTTGTAATTTTTTATGTTAAATTACGGTACATATGCAAATGACCCGTTGGTTAGTTTGGTAGCTCGTCTATTTATTACTACCTCCTACTTTTTTTAAATGTCATTTTAGCTTTATTAACAATTAACCAAATAAATGACGTTTTAGATCTTTTGTATACCATTATTATCCTCATATAGCTAATAAATACACTATGACTTTTCATATTCACTCTATCTTTTCTCAAAACATCCATCTCTATCCTCATTAATGAGGATTATTATTGACAAAAAAAATTTAATTACTGTGCAACTTTTCAAAATAAGAAATAGAAAGGCGTATATAATTAGGGAAGTCAATTTCCTTTTTTGGAAAGTGAGCCTTACAACTCATTTTTATATTTGGAAAGTCACGTGATGTGGACCCCACACTTCTTTTATATTTTTACAAACTCACGTTGTTGAAACATGTAACAACTGTTATTAATTATTTTTTAATTTCTTTAGCAAGTCATGGTAGCTATTGTTTTTCTTTTTTTTTTTTCCTGTCCTAATGTCTCAAAAAATCTGTCATTTATGCAACAAAAGATTGTCATTTTACTACAACAAATGTGATGCTATTTGAAGTATTTTTTTATTTTTAAGATTTTAGTCTTAGTTCTTTATCTAAAAATCATAATTTATAATTCACAAATTAATCTAATTATAATTGTTCATATTTCATAAATTATACACGTGTATTCATTTAATAACTAAAATTTATCGAGCAACAATTGTCGGAGGTATTTAATTTTGGTATAGTTAAGATATATCGCACATGCATGTGTTCATAAAATATTTTACTTTTTAATATATTAATGTAGTCAAAATGTCTATTAGCACAATCAATATACATTTTCTTAATATGTAAATATAGTAATCATGTCTACCAGCAAAATCAATATCCGTCTTCTTTTGGAGCCTTCTTTTGAGCCGAATTCCGATCGACGCTGTGTTGCAAGCGAACAGGTTTTTCTCCCCTTCGCGATGTTACTGTTGTGCCGAGACCGGTGATTTCCAGACTGAGACTTTGTCCTTTTTGTTTTTAGAGAGCGAGGCTGCGAGAAGAGTGTGGGAGCATTTTGCACTTATACTCAAATACCCCTGCCCACTACAGACAATTTTTTTGTGCACCTAAGTTTTTTCTCACATCGCACACATTTTAGACACGTGGGCTTCCTCATTCCTTGTATGACCCTGTGGTTCATTTGGACAGAAAGGAATAGTGCGAAGCATACAAATTTTACTTTTATGAGCTCTCACATTGTTTTGCAGGTTGATCAACATCTTTCTCTCTCTCTCTCTCTCTCCCTATAACTCTGGGCCCAGAGCTGTGGGGCGACGTCGCCCCACTGCTTCGTACCATCCCCGTTGCCCCCTGTTTAGCATTCACGCCCCAGAGCTGTTGTTTTGCTAAGACCTGACTCCCCTTGGGTCAAGCTAAACACCGACAAATCTTTCAACCGACTTACTGTAGCCGCCGGAGGTGGGGGTCTGATTAGGGATCACAGCAGAGCTCCCATTACCGCCTTCCATGCCCCTCTTCAAGCCTCCTCGAGCTACGACGCGGAGGTTCAGGTACTTCAGATTGCAGCCACTATTTCTTCTCACATTTGGATAGAGCTGGATGATGTCGCTCTCGCCACCCTTATGACCTCTGGCCACCAGGGCTCGTATTAAATTCAACACCCGCTCATGCACATCAGATCCACACTTCAGTCGGTTCGCTACCGGATCTCGCCCATCTTCCGCGAGGTAAACTAACCCGCTGACTACTTGGCCAGCCTAGGTGCCTCCATCCCACAGAGGCGCACCTTCCACCTAGATGATGCCCTCTCCACCTTCGTACTCTTGTGAGGATGGACCAGGTGGGCTACCCTTTGGTTAGATTCTAGCAGTCATCCTGTATTTTTGTGCTTCGGCCCTCGCGGTGGAGTAGACTTTTTGCCTGGGCATATGTCAGCCTAGGGTCAGACTTTTCCTTTTGGCCGTTGTTTTTTTCGTTTTCTTGTTTTTACTTTCGCTTTATGGTCGGACATATGTAGACCGGTGAATTTTAATTTTGGCTCATTTAGGGTTTTAGCTATATACGGTCCAACATCAATACCACCCCACCCCACTGGGTGTTTTTATAAATAAAAAATAAATATTATTATTAATATATTAAAATTATTTCTGCAGTTTAAATGGCATGTTATTTCACGAAACCAATTAGCAATTAAAAAGTTGCGTAATGAGAAAAATAAAATGGTGATATAGTTTAAGAAAAAAACAAAACTGAAGAAAAAATTTGCTATAATTTTTTTCATAAGTGTATAGTTTGCATAAATTTTAGTGTGACTTATAATTGGTTAATATTAGTAATAAATATAATTATGAGATAAATTTGGTAACAAATATTATTGCAATTAATTTAATACAAAAGTAACGGTCAATTTTCATAATTAAATAAAAAAAAAGAGTGAAAAAATGACTTTAACCTTTTGTCCCTCTATATACATTGATAAATAAATAAAAAATAATAATATAAATTGTAACAACTTTTGGAGGAAAATCAAAATATTTTTATTATTTTTTTTGCTAAAAATTATAGATGTTTAACTTTTTTTGCTATATATATATATCACAACAAAAAAATTGTTATATTCCAACAAAAAATCCTATAGTAATATATTCCAATAGAAATTCAAAAAAAATTCTATAATAATATATTCCAATAGAAATTCAAACGGATATTGCAATGATACATAGCTTCCGTTGAAATGATTTCAACCAAAATTCCAACCAAAATATTCCGTTGGAATGTATTTTTCATTGAAATTTTAGATGAAATTTGATAATTCCAACGACTATATTTCCAACAGCTTTTGACCGTAAGAATTTCCGTTGAAATTTTTATTTCCACCACTGTTGGAAAATCTACCGTTGAAATCGTCAACATCTAACGGAAAGTCCACTGGAAGACTCATTCCAACAGAATATTTTTATTAAAATTTCCGTTGGAATAATCCTGACGAAAATAATAACATTAAAATATCCATTGGCATTACCATTAAAATTTTATTGGAATATATTTCCGTTAAAATTTTATCATTTTCTTGTAGTATACAAACTTAAAATCTCACTATTAACCATAACACATTTTTCACACTTAACCAAAAAATCCAAATAAAGCCAAAAAAGAATTATATCCAAGCATCCCTATGCCCAAGTACTGTGTCATGTCAAGCATTTTTAGGGGGAAAAAGAAAATCTACATTATCAACAAAAATACACTAAGGTGTATAAGGTCAACAATTGCATTATTATATTGGGTGTTGCTAAATACCGCACCCTTTTTGCTAAATACCGCACCCCAATTTACATTTTTGCCCTTTTTATAAAAAAAAAAAAAAAATAAAAAAAATAAAAAAATATGGACGCATCAAAACATCAAATGATCAAAACACATCAAAAGGGCAAAACATCAAAACACATCAAAAGGACATAAAAAAAAAAAAAAAA